ATGCTAGTGCAGGATTCAAGGGGTTAAAGCAGATGGTGAGGAGGTGATAGGATGCTCCTCACCGTCTGTCAAATGCTCTCTGAAGTGCGTTCCAAATGTAGATAGCTCTTCAGAGACCAAAGCAAGTGTGAACCAGCTCTAAAAAGACATAGAAGACAAAGGAGATGACACAAAATAAATCTCTTGTTTCATCTGCGCCATGTAGAGCACCGTGATTGTACACTACCGGCAATGGAGACTCCAGTGAGAAACACCCGCACATATGCTAACTGGTTTACTGTGACAGTCTAGTAGAAACATTTTTTATTTTTACATGCTGTTTACCTTGACACGCGTGCATTTTTTTGCTTAGTGCCACCCTTCTCCACCTTCCTACCACAGAGAAGACTTTAAACATCATTTTTTATGCCACAGGGAACCCCTGAAAAAAAAAAGAATTATATCTGCAGCCTGTTGTACCTTAGCAGGATCAATAAATTGTAGATAAGAATTATCAATTAAAAAGGTTTGAGGCATATTTGACACCCGAATCAGATCATCAAAATGTTACTAAACCCACAACAGTAAAATCAGTCTGTATATGCAGTACAGCATGCTTGTTATACTCACTGTGGAACCTAAGGGGTTAATCTTTGACATTGTGTAAAAAATGCTATTTGATCCTGTCTTCTCTGCCCCTCTCCTTTTTCAAGTGACCACCTCTTATCTTCTGATAAGACAGACTGAACCGTAGGCATTTGCACATGCTCAGTTTGGTGTGTATTGCTAGAGAGGTTTTTTTTTTTCTTGGGAGAATGCATGTGATCAGCACAGGGCCAATCAGCACTGGCCAGGCAGAGGTTAGGGATCCTGCATCCTCATAGAGCAGAAGGGAAACTCCTCCTACAAGCTTTAACCAGTGCTCTGCTGGACACTGATAGAAGTCAGAAGACTGCTCTAACTGCTGATGAGAAAAGGTATTTAACAGTTTATATTTACTAAAATAATTGCACTTCCATGTTGTGTGTATGTGGGAGACCAGATATAGTGAATGCAGGGTCCTGGGAGACCAGATATAGTGAATGCAGGGTCCGGGGAGACCAGATATAGTGAATGCAGGGTCCGGGGAGACCAGATATAGTGAATGCAGGGTCCGGGGAGACCAGATATAGTGAATGCAGGGTCCGGGGAGACCAGATATAGTGAATGCAGGGTCCGGGGAGACCAGATATAGTGAATGCAGGGTCTGGGGAGACCAGATATAGTGAATGCAGGGTCCTGGGAGACCAGATATAGTGAGTGCAGGGTCCGGGGAGACCGGATATAGTGAATGCAGGGTCCGGGGAGACCGGATATAGTGAATGCAGGGTCCAGGGAGACCGGATATAGTGAGTGCAGGGTCCTGGGAGACCGGATATAGTGAATGCAGGGTCCGGGGAGACCGGATATAGTGAGTGCAGGGTCCGGGGAGACCGGATATAGTGAATGCAGGGTCCGGGGAGACCGGATATAGTGAGTGCAGGATCCGGGGACCGGATATAGTGAATGCAGGGTCCTGGTAGACCAGATATAGTGAATGCAGGGTCCGGGGAGACCGGATATAGTGAATGCAGGGTCCGGGGAGACCGGATATAGTGAATGCAGGGTCCAGGGAGACCGGATATAGTGAGTGCAGGGTCCTGGGAGACCGGATATAGTGAATGCAGGGTCCGGGGAGACCGGATATAGTGAGTGCAGGGTCCTGGGAGACCGGATATAGTGAATGCAGGGTCGGGGAGACCGGATATAGTGAGTGCAGGATCCGGGGAGACCGATATAGTGAATGCAGGGTCCGGGGAGACCGGATATAGTGAATGCAGGGTCCTGGAAGACCGGATATAGTGAGTGCAGGGTCCGGGGAGACCGGATATAGTGAGTGCAGGGTCCGAGGAGACCGGATATAGTGAGTGCAGGGTCCGGGGAGACCGGATATAGTGAGTGCAGGGTCCGGGGAGACCGGATATAGTGAGTGCAGGGTCCGGGGAGACCGGATATAGTGAATGCAGGGTCCTGGGAGACCGGATATAGTGAATGCAGGGTCCGGGGAGACCGGATATAGTGAATGCAGGGTCCGGGGAGACCGGATATAGTGAATGCAGGGTCCGGGAAGACCGGATATAGTGAATGCAGGTTCTGGGAGACCGGATATAGTGAATGCAGGGTCCAGGGAGACGAGATATAGTGAATTCAGGGTCCGGGGTTTTACACTTTAATATTCCTCTGGCATCTTAGATTGAGAGCAGGACCCCTTTACAAGGGTGGTCAGTAGGAGAAATACCCCCTTAGATTGGTAGTCAATGGAAGAATTGGTGGTTATCAGGGAATGAGCATTACATTGAGTGTCAGTTTTCATGAATGGCAAATAATAAGAATGCCAACTTATAGACAAATGAAAATAAAATTGGTGTAAGGGGATACTTACCTGAGCTATGAGAACAGAGGCTTCAATAGTTTTATGCTGCTAAGTCATTGGTATAATGGTTAGCACTTCTGCCTAGCAGCCCTAAGGTCATAGGTTCAAATCCCAGCTCTAGTGGGTGACTACTCGGGTAATTTTCGATCTATTTGGGAACCATGGGATCATTCTCCCTTTGGAAGACTTCCTACTCTCCCCCCTTCCCCTTATATAGCTCAGACAACTTTTTTTTTACTTACCAAGTCTCTGACAATCATTAACCCAACAAGTGCAGGTTTATGTCGTTTTGTGCTCTTGCATTATACAGTTTACCATGCTGTCTAATTCTGTTCACATTTCTTTTGTTTATGTTCTCTTTTATATTGATTGTGATTTTCTTTTATTGCAACGTTTACACCTAAAGTGTTGTAACTTTGTTGTGAAAAAAATGTGCTTTGGCCTTTAATAAAAATGTACAATATTAAAAAAAAAAAAATACAGGTTGCATACGATTTGATGCATTTTGATATGTTGTATTAATAACCCTTGGTCAATAGCTGTTAACTCTATCTACTCCAAATCCTAAATTCAAAAATGCATTGGAAACACGCATCAATGCACACATCAATGCACGACAACACGCATGCCCAACGCAACAAACTGACACACCACTGAGCAGACATAGATCTAAATGGGCCCTTAAGGAGCAGCAATCATACTTTGAGATATTTGACAATGTTTGACTTAGAAGTCTGCGTCTAGCTACTCAGCTATTTAAGAAAGCCACATAATAACAATAGTCTTTTTTTCTATGGAAATGCTGGAAAGAAATTCTTCTGTTTATTATAAAATATTATTCCAAACTAGATCTTCATCACAAATATCTCCTCTGATTATCTTTTGAAACTACTACACTGATGTCATTTATTAAAACTGATTTTACATAAAGAATGAAAATGCTGTGATTTGGGTATAAGGACTCTTCATGTATAAAAATGTATATTTATATAGATGATTACAATGTGTTTTTCCCAGTAAATGAATTTAGTTCACTTTCACCAGGTTTATTGTGTAGGAAAAATACAAAGCCATTCCTAACTGGTACAATTGTATATACTGTATGTATCCACAGCTTACAGGATTGGGTCTGCAACTATTTTGCACATTTAGGAATCCAACACATTTCACAGAAAGTATTGTAGTAACGTAATGTAATAAGTTTTTAAAAATCTGAAATTTAAGGTGTTACTAAACCCAGGACCCTGCATTCACTATATCTGGTCTTCCCACAGTACACAGAACATGGAAATGTAATTATTTTAGCAAATATAAACTGCTAAATACCTTTTCTCATCAGCAGTTAGAGCAGTCTTGTGACTTCTATCGGTGTTCAGCAGAGCACTGGTTAAAGCTTGTAGGAGGAGTTTTCATTCTGCTCTATGAGGATGCAGGACCCCTGACCCTCTGTCTGGACAGTGATGATTGGCCCTGTGCTGATCACATGCGCTCTCCCAAGGAAAAAGAAAAAAAAACTCTCTAGCAATACACACCAAACTGAGCATGTGCACAGTGTCTCCACAAGCTATTTCTTATCAGGAGATAAGAGGTGGACACTGGAAGAAGAGAAGTATCAGAGAAGTCAGGATCAAACAGCGTTTTACATAATGCAGTGGAATAACCCCTTAGTTCCACAGTGAACATAACAAGAATGCTATACTGCATATACAGACTGATTTTACTGTTGTGGGTTTAGTAACACTTTAAGAAGTATTAAAAAGGAATTTAAATCAACTGTTTGAACTACTACATCATGCATTCACATTCCCTACTTTAGCACTTTGACATAAGGAGGAGATTTACTAAAACTGGAGCACTCAGAATCTGGTGCAGATGTCCATTGTAGCCAATCAGCTTCCAATGTCCGCTTGTTTAATTCAGTTCAATAAAACCTGGAAGCTGACTGGTTTCTATGCAGAGCTGCACCAGATTCTGAACTCTCCAGTTTAGTAAATCCCCCCGATTAATTCTATATTGCTGTATATTCTATATTGCTGTATATTCTATATCAGGGCTTGAAAAAGCCGCTCACCCGCTCGGCAAATGCGAGGAGAAATTCCTCTGTGGCGAGTGGCTGCGAGCGTTGAGCACAGATGAAGCATGGAGCAACTGTACCTGCGCTCCAAGCCTCACTGTGAATCCGAGTTCCGGTTACAACTTCCGGTTTCTGGCTTCTGCAGCACTGCCGCTGAGGGACAGGTGCAGGAGAGGTCCGCTCTCCTCCGCTGAGAGGAGACACCCTCTCCACCGTGGGGACTCGGAGGGACTAGGAGTAAGTACTGTATACAACATGTCCTATCACTATAATGGAGTACAGTGGAGCTGGGATATACATTACTGTGTACAGTTTTATATTTTGGACTCTTTATTCTAAAGAAAAATAAAATTTCATAAGCTTTAAGTGGGCGGGGTGGGGCGGGGTGGGGGTGGGGGCGGACCTGGGCAAGGTTGGGTGGGGCAACTGGTGGAGAGTAAGTTTTGTGACTGGCTAGTACAGTGATGGCGAACCCGTGGCACGCGTGCCACAGCCGGCACGCCGAGCCTTATCTGTGGGCACGCCAGGAGAATCCAGCGGCGCGTTGTCTTCCCGGCTGTAGTGTGCGTGACAGCCGGGTCCCAATTGCGCATGCACAAGAAGCAGTGCTCTTTGTGTACTGTGTCCGCAGTCTCTGGTCATCCCTGTACTGTTAATTAGTTTGCACTACTGTACGAGTTGTTTTTTCTAAACCAAAAGCTCGATATTCAGGTTTCATTGCAGTGTTGGCACTTTGAAAGAAATAAGTTGGTTTTGGGTTGCGTGACAGCCGGGTCCCAAGTGCGCATGCACAAGAAGCAGTGCTCTTTGTGAATGGTAAGGCGGTACCTGGGACACATGACAGATCCCAGAAGCCGCCTGACCAATCACAAAGCGCAGCGCTTCTCGCGCATGCGCACTGGGCATCCGGCTGTCCGACGAGCGCCCACACTACAGAAGCCAGGAAGACAACGCGCGGCTGGATAAAGGAACAGGTAAGAAAAAAAACTCTGCGGAAGTAAGAGCGGGTACCTGTCAAATTCAGGTACCCGCTCCCCCTCCCTCCCCAAAGGTCAGCAGTCATCCCAGTGCTGTCCACAGTCTCTGGTCATCTCCTGTACTGTGTCCGCAGTCTCTGGTCATCCCTGTACTGTGTCCGCAGTCTCTGGTCATCCCTGTGCTTTCCGCAGTCTCTGGTCATCCCTGTGCTGTCCACAGTCTCTGGTCATCTCCTGTACTGTGTCCGCAGTCTCTGGTCATCCCTGTACTGTGTCCGCAGTCTCTGGTCATCCCTGTACTGTGTCCGCAGTCTCTGGTCATCCCTGTACTGTGTCCGCAGTCTCTGGTCATCCCTGTACTGTGTCCGCAGTCTCTGGTCATCCCTGTACTGTGTCCGCAGTCTCTGGTCATCCCTGTACTGTCCGCAGTCTCTGGTCATCCCTGTACTGTGTCCGCAGTCTCTGGTCATCCCTGTACTGTCCGCAGTCTCTGGTCATCCCTGTACTGTCCGCAGTCACTGGTCATCCCTGTACTATGTCCGCAGTCTCTGGTCATCCCTGTACTGTCCGCAGTCTCTGGTCATCTCCTGTACTTTCCGCAGTCTCTGGTCATCCCTGTACTGTCCGCAGTCACTGGTCATCCCTGTACTGTGTCCGCAGTCTCTGGTCATCTCCTGTACTGTGTCCGCAGTCTCTGGTCATCCCTGTACTGTCCGCAGTCTCTGGTCATCCCTGTACTGTCCGCAGTCTCTGGTCATCTCCTGTACTGCCTGCAGTCTCTGGTCATCCCTGTACTGTGCCCGCAGTCTCTGGTCATCCCTGTACTGTGCCCGCAGTCTCTGGTCATCCCTGTACTGTGTCCGCAGTCTCTGGTCATCTCCTGTACTGTGTCCGCAGTCTCTGGTCATCCCTGTACTGTCCGCAGTCTCTGGTCAACCCTGTACTGTGTCCGCAGTCTCTGGTCATCCCTGTACTGTCCGTAGTCTCTGGTCATCCCCTGTACTGTGTCCGCAGTCTCTGGTCATCTCCTGTACTGTGTCCGCAGTCTCTGGTCATCCCTGTACTGTCCGCAGTCTCTGGTCATCTCCTGTACTGTGTGTCCGCAGTCTCTGGTCATCCCTGTACTGTAATTAGTTTGCACTACTGTACGAGTTGTTTTTTCTAAACCAAAAGCTCGATATTCAGGTTTCATTGCAGTGTTGGCACTTTGAAAGAAATAAGTTGGTTTTGGGTTGCAGTTTGGGCACTCGGGCTCAAAAAGGTTCGCCATCACTGGGCTAGTAGGTCTGGACTCTAAATTTTAACCCCTGTTCTATATAATTCTATATTGCTGTATTTTTAACTTGTGTTGAATTCTTTGTAATGCTCTACAGCTTAAAGAGACGCTAAAGGATAGCCTTGTTCTCCAAAAATAATTCATACACATCCAGTACTTAATGACCCTGCAATCTGTTTTTCATGAAACGGTTAGAAATCTTTTCCCTGAATGCAAGGTGTTCTGAGATTGGATGAGGAAGATTGCAATGTTCATCTGCCTCTCCTCCAATCACAGAATACGTGTCGGATACTTGGCACCAAGAGGAGAGTGCAAACTGAAAAAAGGAAAATCTTTAACAAACTCTGCAGCAGCCAGAGATGGGACACACTTTATTGGATGTAACTTTTTTTTTGTAGTTACATACTCCTTCTTTAAAGCAGTATTAAGCCCAAATCCAAAAATGTCACCAAATAATTGGTAAACTGCAATATATAAGCAATGTTTCCTTTTGGGTTTAATACCACTTTAAATATTTTGTGCGGCTTTCTTCCCAAACTGTACTCTCTTGTGTGTTATGTGTATATAAAAGATAGATTCTTGGATGATTGTAGTAGGAGTTTGCTTAAATAAATAGAGATGTTACCATCTGACTAATATGCAAGTAGAGAAATAAATCCAAATGATACTAGAGAGCAGGGGCGGACTGACAACTCATGGGGGTCCCCGGGCAATAGGGGATCATGGGGCCCCTGTGTCCTTGCCCAAACTAAAAAAAGCCTATGAAAAAGGTACCAGGGGCATCTCATGGGGCCCCCTACTGACCCCGGGCCCTCGGGCAGTGCCCGAGTTTCCAAATGGTCAGTCTGCCCCTGCTAGAGAGAAATCTTAAACAGAAATGATCTGGTGTCATAAAATCATAATCAGGAGTTCATAAACCAACAGTGTACATAACAACCAGTGACAGGTGGGAAGGACATCGGGTGGCAGTACCAAACATGTTGATTGCTACACAGTATACAGAGACAGGCACTCTGCCAGTCTCTGTAAACCAACATATAGTAGGTCTTAATCATCTCCAGTCTCATAATCTATGAACTGGAGGTAATTATTTTTTTAATTTGTTGCAGTAATAGCACCACTTTGCAAAAGTGCCTACTACAAAGCACTACCTGAATCTTCCACATGTTTCGGTAAAGCTGCCAAAACTAACAGCAGACCAGTTTGTAGCTGGCTCAGGAGCATTTAAAGGGCCACACCACCAGAAATTGGTGCTAATGATTTATTGAATTCCCCAGAATGTATTTTATTATCCCAACAATAAAAGGCATTACTTTAATGTCTAAAAACATTTTACAAATAAAAAGAAGAGGGCAAAAGCAGTCACATGACTTCACGGTAGTGTCACAAAATAATAATAATTTTTCTGGTACCCTTTTCTCTAATGCGGGGTATAGGTCACCACACATTTATCTTGTGTACCGTACTTATCCAAGGAGGAGAAATGGAGGGATTTTTTTGGGGTGATAACAGTGTTATGCATTTTACAGATCAAGATCCATTTCTTCAGGTATAGTGACCCACAAATCTCATAATCTGAACTATTGTACAATGGAAGAAAACATATACAGTCTGCACACCTCTGTAAAAATGACAGTTCTTTTTTAGACGTAAAAAACAACAGAACAAGAAAAATCATTTCTGAATTTGTTACCATTTCTAACACGCAAATATATATATATAAAAGTGCTAATATACTAAATAACACTAATAAATAAATAAATAATACTGTCCAAAAAAATGTCCACAATAAAATAAAATATAGATATCTATGGCATCACACTATGTGAGTTCTCTCTTTCTTTGAGGCACGATCTCCGTAATCATTGGATTCACATCCTGCTGGAAGTCATTTTGCGGATTGTCTATTTGGAGGACTTTTGTTTATTTTATTTATTTTATTTTATACTTTATATTTTATTTTATTGTGGACATTTTTTTGGACAGTATTATATTTATTTATTTATTTATTAGTGTTATTTAGTTTATTAGCAATTTATATATATATATTTGGATGATACACTTTTTGGGGTGAAAAGTGTTTAGGTGCAATTGGGGAATTATTTGAAGGGAACACCGTTTATTTCTACCATTTCTAACATGACCTATAATCTCTGCAATTCAATTAAAAACAAACTCAGATTGTTGTTTCTTGTCAAAATATACCAACAATAAAAAAAATAATGTGGTTGCATAGGTGTAGACACCCTCTTATATTTAGGGCTGTGTTCAGAATTAACCAATCACATTCAAGTTGATGTTAAATAAAAGTCACTACACACCTGCCATCAATGAAAGTGACTTTGACTTAAGTACACACAATGAGAAAATTGGATGAAAAATACCACTATTGGAGCAATCGTCCAATCTGATCATTAGTATACAACTTTCGAGAGTTGATCATAGCAGTTCATACGAAATTATCCGAAGGGACAAATATGAATTTTTTTTTCATGCGATAACAGAACAAACAATTTTTGTTCAATCAGTACATTATTTACGCTTATATAAAGTTTGGGTGTTTCAGTAGGATTTTTCTGTCTTTTACTAAAGCAGGCCATACATGGGTTCAATTCTGAACGATTTTTTGATCAAAAATCGAAAACATCATTCGCTCTGTAATCCAATGGTGCCACCAATGATTTAGAAAATTGGTCATTTTTCATGAATTTTCCAGCATGCCCGATAAATGAAGTGGGGAGGAACCACAAAAATCGTCTGGTGCCATTGCCCCACTAACAGAATGAAAATCAGCCGATTATTCTTAGGTCCAATAAAAAAATCGTTTGGAAATTGACCCATGTATGGCCGGCCTTAGTTGCCTCTTACAACAAAAGCCATGGTCCACAAGGAGCTTACAAAGCATCAAAGGGATCTCATTGTTGGAAGGTATCAGTCAGGAGAAGGACGCAAAAAATTTCCAAGACATTAGCTATACCGTGCAACACAGTGAAGACAGTCATCAACAAGTGGAGAAAATATGGCACAACTGTGACATTACCAAGAACTGAATGTTCCTCCAAGATTGAAAAAAATGGTCAGGGAGGCCTATAAGGAAATTAAAGGAGCTGTAAATAACACCATACCCACAGTGAAGCATGGTGGTGGAATTATGCTGTGGGGCAATTTTCCTTCAGCTGGATCTGGAGTTTTAGTCAAGGTGGAGAGACTTTTGCAGTTGCAAATATCAGTAAATTTTGGCACAAAATCTTTAGGCCTCTGCTAAAAGCTGTCCTTTCAGCAGGGCAATGAGCCAAAGCATACCCCCCAATCAACAAAAGAATGTCTTCACCAGAAGAAAAGATCAAAGTTTTGGAATGGCCTAGCCAGAGACCTGGACCTGAATCCAATTGAAAATCTGTGGGGTGACCTGAAGAGAGCTTTGCACAGGAGATGCCCTTACAATCTGACAGATTGGGGTCATTTATGCCAGGAAGAATGGGCAAAGATTCCTAGGGCAAGATGTGTCACGCCGATAGAGACTCCTAATCCAAAAGACTGAATTCTGTCATAAAATCAAAAGGTGTTTAACAAAGTATTAGTTTAGGGTGTTCATATTTCTGCAATCACATTATTATTTTTGTTATTTTTATATCCTCTCTTTTGAAGATTTCAGTTTGTTTTTAATTGAATTGTACAGATTATAGGTCACATTAAATGTGAACAAAATTCAGAAGCAATTTCTCTTGGTCTGATTTTTTTTTTTTTTAACATCTGGCATTTTTACAGGGGTGTGTAGACTTTTCTTTCCGCTGTAGATAATCTTGCATCTCTCATATCTTCTATCCCATCCTGAATGTATTCTCAAACCAGGTCCTCAGGACCAGCTGTAAAGCAAACGCATGGAAGGAGGATAGCCCTACCCC